TGGAGATAGGCAGCTCGTCGGATGAGGAACGAGAGACGCGTGGGGGCCTGGAGAAGCAGGAAGTCCATGCACGACGGAGCACAAGGCCGCGACGTAACCCACGTTGGCGGGAGGATTATGTTTAGCCGTTGTGTTAATTAAATATTTTAATTATTGTATTTTAGTATTTTCCTAGGTGAGCGAATTATAAGCTCCTTCGGGGTTTCTTTACGGTTCTTTACCTCGTCGCTTTTCTTGAACCGTCAGGTTAGAAAACGTAGTTTTAGGTTGGAGGTCTCTACTATAAATAGAGATATTACTCCCCATAATTAATAGGAAAGAAAATACCTAAACCCTAATTCTCCCTTCCCTGTGACGTGTGGTTCTGCCGCACGAGTTCTCTCTCTCTCTTTAACCCTTGTCCTTCTCTTCTTGGAGTTCGGAGACACTCGAAGCTCTCTTCCCCGATACGTGTTCGTATCATTGTGACTCTAGCATTACTCTAGATTAATAGTGAAAAAAGTGTGATGTGATATGTTGATTAATTCATAGTATTAAATTGACTTTTTAATAGTAATGAGAAAGGTTTTTTGGGACAGATGAAAAAAAGAGAAAATTTTTATGGGACGGAGGGAGTATTACTCTCCTTCTGTTCCAGAATATTTGTCAAATTGTGATATTTTACAGTCAATCAAGATCAATATTTGAACTATTATTAAATAAGAATTTCATTAAAAAATCATGATATATTTATTTGGTAAACAATTTTTTTGTGAATATTTTACAAGATAAATATGATAAAGTTATTCTTTTATCAATATCTAATATAAATTTTATTTAACTAATGGCTAAAGAAACTTTGACCATAAAAATTATAAAATAAACAAATACTCTAGTACAGAGGTAGTACAAACTATGAGTAATCGGTATCAAATTGGTCAAAATATAATTAATTATTATTCTTATTATCGTAGGACAATGGTCTTTTGACATTAACTTTGATCTTTATGTCATAATATGACACATAGAGTACAAAACCTTTACGAGGCCTTCAACCACAAATTTAAAGTTTTGTGAGTAGGTTCTTTGAAATATCATATCATAGTCTTGCTGGTCAAGATGTCGAGTTTGAATCACAAAGTTTTAAAAATTAGCATTCATGTGTAAATCTCAAACAAATTAAACAAAAATCTTGTCTGCGCCTGGGTAGACATATTATTGTATTAGAATATAAATCTTTATTGCGCATATAACCACAAACTTGATCTTTTCGTTTAGTTGTTTCATTGACAATGACATGAGAAACAAGCAGTATCTCGTTCAAAAAATTGATGGTATATATCAACCTCCTGAACCCCATGTCCCACCCTCAATGCCGATTCGGCACTCGGCGATCGACAAGGCAATGGTTGGTGCTGGGATAGGGGAGGAGGGTTTAGAAATAGTTAGCAGTGTAGAAATCATTAATTTTGTGAAGAAGGTATCGCAGGTACCCCATGCGATATATATTATGACATTGATAACTAATGTGAAAAGATATTTGGTGATTATCGAAATCGATATAACTATCACAAAGTAAGCTTGAATATGAAAATTCTTACAAATACTTAACACTAGTTCATGAGTGTTAATATTTATTAAATGTGATATAAACAGTAATGATATGAGGGATAAGACGAGTCTTCTCGCTGCCTGGGCTAGTGAGTTCTATGAAGATTAGAGAGCTAAAAACAGCTGGATTGGAATTGAAGTCTTCAAATCTAATTTTATGACTTGAATTTCGTGTACCAAATGGAATCTAAGAAATTTTCGTGTTAGGCACGCACTAGAGTGAAGAGAGAGATGTAATGAATTGGTGGGGAATGAGGGCAGATCGACCCTCTTCCTAAAGATGCTTGGATTCTCTCTCGGCTATATGCAGTATTTGCACCGACCCAAACCCGAACATTTATAACCTATAAAATGCTATCAGAGCACTCTCTATAATCTCTTTTTTTAATTCTCTAGTGCAATCGCATCTTCATTCTTGTATGGTTCTTCCTTCTTTGCAGCTTTAATCTGTCTATTGTCTTGTTCGCATTTCTAGTCACGCAATCGTCTTGACACAAAAAAATGAGATACAAAAAGACACAAAAGAATTTAGATTTATTCTTTTTAAAATTCTTGGGGTACGTCGAATTGGTTATTGGTTAAATTACATATTCGGATTTCGGGTTTAAACATCGGGTTCAAGTCAGGTCGGGTTTTTGGTTTTAAAGTCGGGTTTCGGGTCGGGTTTGAATTTCAGTTATAAAAGTCAGGTCGGGTTCGAGTATAGTACTATCCAACCCGAACCCGACTTGTTGCCATCCCTAGCTGGAACTCTTTCCAAAAATCAAGTTTTCTTTATTTTCTTCATCTCCAAGAGCCGAAAGTGATTCAATAAATTTTACAAAAATGCTAGGGGTACACCAAAGGTGTACCCCAAATGTACATCACCCTCTATTACCATATATTTTGGAATGTAAAATAGAAAAAAGTAAATAAATAAAAATGTGTGGTAATGAAGGGGTGATGTACATTTGGGGTAAGTGGAAGGATTTTCTTTCTTTGCCAACAAAAATCCACTTTTCATTTTTTGAAAAGATTTTGTGGCATTTGTTATTTCTTTTCTCACTTTATTCTTCGTCTTTCTTTCATTTACTTTCATTGCATTAATCAAACATTTAATTCTGGATATTCTGAAACAGAGAATCAAATGCATATATTCAAAGATTTCAAAGAGAAGAAGTATATAGACAAAAATTAATAAAATACCCACAGGAAAAAAAGTGTAAAAAAAGATAATGGAAATTAAAGCATCTGCTTTGACATCTATCCATTACATATTGATTTATTTAGAGACCCACAAACAAAGAAGATCAAATGTTTATTGTATTTGTTACCATACAGAGTATTTTTTCAACAACTTAAAACAACTTTTATCAACAACAATTTTGTCCGGATTTTAATTTCAACAAGTGGGCAAATGGTTCCGTAATCCATAGGTATACGTGGCTATCATATCATATTATATCCCCTACTTCCATTGCTTTTAATGCATTGTTTGGGTAGTATATTGACAAATTTGAAAAGAAAAAATGAGAGAGAGAAAAATTAGAAGAGAAAAAAATAGAAAGAAAATACTTCTTTAAATTAGTAGAAAGGATAAAAGAACAAAAAAGGCAATTTAGAACGGAGGAAGTATATTTAAATTATGGAGTATACATTTTTATTTTTATTTTTTAAGAATTTATATTTAAAAATTTAAATTCATAAAAGTAAAGAAAAACAAAAGAGACCATAACGTAAAAAAGAAAATAATTTTTCAATATTTTAATAAATTATATTGTTATGAAATGTGAATAGTAACATTGATGGGATTCTGAACTCGGGCATGGAAGACTAGGTAAGAGAGTATCGAAAAAGGGCCGAGTGTCTTAGATTGCAAGTATAAAGTGTATTTGCTTAGTGGTGGACGTGTCTCCCTATCCCGAAGTGAAAGAGGTATTTATACAATACGTTTGTCCTATGCATGTGTTTCCTAGCCGTTATTTAGGACAAGACCTAGTGGGTCGGGGCCCACTGAAATTAAATCAGATCTTAGGCTAATAATACAAGTGATGTAATTACAAACAACATAATTGCAAATGATGTACAGACGGACAGTGCTATAGATGTCCTTTAGTGGGCCAATAGAGTAGACAGGGCGTACAAGAACCAAAGCCAAGTATGGGACTGTGTGGGTTCCTTCGTTGGCCGAGGCCAAGCACAGGTTCTTTCGTTGGATGATATCCCGGGTGAGGGTCTGTTTGGGTCTGGCCGAGTATAACCAACTCTACCCCTGGGTCCGAGTACGTGCTATTAGGCTGAGTACAAATGCTTGTCCGAGTGTGATTGCCATCTTGAGAGCTTGGTTTCTTCTAAATCTTGCTCAGCCGAGTAAGGTGCCTTTAATTTGGCAGAGCGCGACCAACTCTCTGCGACTAGATGAGCCTTGTATTGGGTCGTAACTATTTTTATTGGACTGGATACCCCCAGTCCAGGGTATTCAGCAAACATCTAAAAATAAATGATGCAACATATATTTTAGAAGCCTAGCCATTGGAGTTAAAAAAATGCTACAACAATACTTATAAACTTTAAAAAAGCTTAAAGATGTTTTCATCTTGAGAGAACCAATTTGAGGGGAACGTCTGCTGTACAACCGGGTAAACTTAGACCTAGGTACATCTGTTAAATGTTTATTTTAAATCAAGAGAATGTTCATTTTGAAATAACAGACACATTTGTTCATTATAATTATAATACTAATTTAAGAACATTATAGTTTCCATTCCAATCATACTTAGTGTAGCGTTCGTTCTGAAACCGCGTATTGTCCATTTGGAGCAATGTAATGTTTATTCATCCGCGTATTATAATTATATTACTAATTTATGAACTCTGTGACAATTCTGTTTGTAAATCTAACATTGTTCATACTATAATTGTTGTCATATCTCAAATGCCTCATTTGTGACTAAATGTTAGTTTCAGTTTTAAGAACACGTTCTTACTTTGATAAGTTTGATTACATTTTGTAGAAGTACACAATAATTCTTTGGATACACATGAAAAAGTAAAAAATAATAAATCGTAGTGATGCTTGAATTTTTAGTTTTATGGTATATTTATATCTAATTTCAAAGTTTAAAGTTTAAACTATATTTCTTATTTAAAATATCTGCACTTATTACAAGCCTTATTTTTGAAAAATCAAATTCATAAATCATGAACGTATCTGTATGCGTACTCCGAACGTATAAAACATATTTTATAAATTTGATCCGTACACGAATATACGAATAAACATATTCCTTCCGTCCCGAATTAGATTACAATGTTTTTTTATTTTCTCCTTTCGATAACTTTTGTTCATTTACGTGATTTCATTAAGTATTTGATAAAATAAAATATTCTTATTAATTTTCGTAAATCCCAATTTATAATCAAATTAAGAACAGAAGGAATATTATAATCTTTTATCCTTTATATATATAAAGGAGACTCCGAGCTACAAGAATGTGACATTTGGCAGAGCTAAAGCGCGACATGTGGCAGAGCTAAAGCACGACACGTAGCAGAGCTGATGTGTCACCCTTTTAGACAAACCGGTCGGTCGAACCAGTCGGACCAGTTTTTTTTTGCAATTTTTTTCCAAAAGCATACCACCATGGGGTTTGACCCCAAGATCTCTTAGTCAATTAGATGAGTTCCTTACCATCCAATTAGTGATTTTTGTTACAATTTCACTTAACCTTTTATAATATTTCATAATTAAAAAAGGATTGTATAAACATTTCTTTTTAGTTATAAACATTATAATCCTTTAATATAATATTTGAGACTCGCCACGTGTCAAGCTTATGTGGGCTATATTAAGGTGAGATTACAAGCCTTTATTGGTTGCTTATGTGGCAAATTTTATTAATGATGAATTGACCTTTCTTTTTATTATAAAATAGAAATTTAATAATGATCTCAAATTTTGGAAAAATTTTACTTAAAAAGATTTAGGACAAATAAAGAATTCATTACTTCATGACATTAGTTGAGTTTTTATATTTTTTATTTTTAAAAAGCAATTCATTTATTTATTTGTTATGTTGTGATAAAATTAATTAATTATGTTATAAAATCAAATTTGTGAAAGATAAATATAGTATTGTCCGAAATAAAATTATTAAAGGAAAGCAATTATATAAAATATAATTTTATGATAAAATTTATTATGATGTAGCAAAAAATTAGTGAAAATATAAAATTGGTATTATCACTTACCATTTCTAGACTATCATTTTTATGAATCAAATTTTTAACTAAGTGAATACACAAAAAACAAAATTTTGATAATGATATATTTTCATCTAAAAGTATTCTTATATGAAAGAATCAAATATTTTTATAATTGATACTTTATTTATAAAATTTATATTTTAATTTCTAAGAAGCTGAGATGTAATGTTGTTTACGAGACATTTCTGACACGTAAAATATATTATAGAAAATAATAAGTTAATACTATGCACTACAAGAAAACTGCCGATCTACAACGGACAAATTTCGTGGCAGATTTTGAAATTCCGTGGCAGATTTCCATTCTGCAACGGCTCTGCTACGAAATCTTTCCGTCGTAGAAAAGTTGTGGTAGATTCAAAATCTGCGACGGAATTTAAATTCCGTGGCAGATCTGCGACGGACCTGCAACGGAATTTCCCTTTTTTCATCGGATGTAATCTGCGACGGAAATTAGGAACCGTTGCAGATCTGCGACGAATTAGCAACGGAGACCTCCGTCGCAGATCTGTGACAAAAACAGCAACATATGGTTCCGTCGCAAATATTTGGATGATCAACCTAAATTTTTCTGGTTTTAGGCATTAGATACTAAAATTGGAGGCAAAACACATTCAATTTTCACACACATTGATAATTCAAAGCTAGATTAATGAAAACTTCACATGCAAATGTAACATAATTCATTATATTCTAATAATGAATATTAAAGTGTTAGTGTCAATCGCTTAAAATGGAGGAAGCTAAGGTCGTAAAGGTCTCAACGAATCTTGAGCTGTCCTGCACCTCTTGTTCCATCATCATCGCCTCATCGAGGAAGGATACCACCACATAGCTTCTTTATCTCCTCTTGAATCGTCAGTGACAAGCTCGAGGTTAAATTATCACGGCCCACGACTAGCGAATAACGTATTTCTTGGTCGGTGACTTGCAGCCCTTTCTATCTAGCCTCCTCGCACAGTTCGAAGAATTGAGCCTGAATTGAGTCTGAACACAAGTTTTTTGCTTCCACCTATTAACAAGTACAAGAGAAAAAATACAAAATTAGAAGAAATAAGTAAACAAAAAATACTTCAAAAATTCCATATATTCAAAACATAATGCATCAAAAAGTTGCTAATAAGACTCTAGGAATACAAAAATAAGATTATAAATCAAGAAAAAAGTTACTGATTTTTTAAAAAGAATGCAAATCAGATCAGGTTTTTTTGCAAATTAAATACATAATGCATCAGAATCAACATATGAACTTCATGTTATGCTTCAAGAATCAGCCCATGTGCTTTATATTGAGATTAGAGTTCATATTCAAGCAAATAAGCACTTCAAAGGACACAAAATCAGCATTAAAACAAACCTAAATTTTGGACTTGAAGGCAGTTCCCTTGAAAGCTTGATCTTGGTTTTCCTCTTCATTAAAAATGATGGTTTTCTGGTGGATCTTGCAACTTGCACTATGATCTACTCACACAAACATCAAAAGACATACATAGTATTCAATTTCACATTTTACTAGCCAACAAAGAGAAGGGGAACCATGGGAGATGGTTGCAAAAGAGTTACATGTTCTCCGGGAAGATTAAAACATTAGCATAGATTATATTATTAAAGAATAAGATCATGAATCACATACTCTAAATTGTACTTGAGTTCTGATTCATCATGCCAAGCAGATTCAGATGTAGGTGTTGATGGCGACTGGATAACAGTTGAGTTTTTGAATGAAATCAAATGTTCGGGAATCCCAAACCACAGGATAGTTTTAAAAAAGGGTACCAATTATGTTACTGAGGAACATTGACCAAACATCTGGATTGTGTAATGGTACAAGATTAATTGTTGACGAGATGCGAAAGAATGTTAATATGTTATTGGTGTTATTGTGGTTTCGAGAAATCGAGTGGGCGAAAAAGTTTACATACCCCGGATGAATTTGGTACCGTCTGATCCAGGACTAATTCTAAAGTTCTAGAGAAGACAATTTCCAATAGTCTTATGTTTTGCTATGACTATTAACAGAAGTCAAAGTCAAACATTATCATTTGTTGGATTATTTTTAACTAAGTCAGTGTTCACTCATGGTCAGCTCTATGTTGCTGTTTTACGAGTGAAGACAAAGACAAGATTAAAAATATTAGTCTTAGATGACAATGGAAATCCTTGCAGCCATACCAAAAATATTGTATACCCTGAAGTCTTTCAAAAAATTTGGTATTAAAGCAAACTTTGTTGTGTGTAGATTCAATTCCTCATATATTATTCTTTTTACTTTGCCTTTCTTTTCTGTGTTATTATAAATCATGCATGAGGTATATTTTCTTTATTCCGGAAAAAAATATTACATTGAATAAATTTAGAATCGACAAGATATTCGTCCGAACCCGTGCATGGCACGGGTAGGAATACTAGTGTATGAAATAAGTTACAGCTTTGATCACACTATTTACTGAAAATTTCATATTCACCCCGCTGTAACACAATAATGCGCTTTTGTACCAGTGCACCCTTCTCTACCATCGAGGCCTTCCTCTTCTTCCTTCCACTGCGTCCAGCAAAAGCTAGAGCCAGAGCCAAAGGCATGGAGACGAGACGCTTATCTTCTGCTTCTCTACCCCTTCTTTCTCCAGAAGCCCACAGGGTGAGCGGCAGAGGAGCTTCAATCAGCCCCGAGGAATGGCAGGGTTGGGGAAGCACCTCCCCCGTACCTGCAATGGTGGTTGAGGTGATTGAAGACTTGAAGCTTCTGGAGAGAAATGTTGATGCTCGAATGGACTTTGGAGGCAACCATGGAAAACTCCAGGTAATAGAATGAACATCTTTCCACATCTGTTACCATTTTTATTTATTTATGAGTATTCAAAGTAATCTTCAATGCAAATTAAACCTAGATTTCATATTTCTATTCGTAAGGTGTTCCATGGAGTCTGCAATTTAGGTAATGAAATTTGAAATGGGCTGTTTTTACCTTTCTATCATGGTCTTGTATAGCTCATTTTTAGCCGAATTTGAATGCTTCTGTGGCCTTATTGAGGGTTTAAAATAAAAAATTTCAGGTTTTGTTTGAATGGAGAGTTTAGCAGGGGAAGGCTTTGGAGGATTTAGTATATAGCTTTATCTTGATAAATACAACATTTCTAAAAAGGAATAAAATACGATTGAAATGTTATGAGCATCACGTTAATCCTTAAAAATTTCGATATCCTAAGTATGTATTTATATCACCATATAATCTCAAGGACTAGAAATATCAATTGGAGTATAAGAGTCAGTTTGGTAAGGTTAATTAGCTAAAATCCTTTTCAGCCTAATTGGTCAGAAGCTACTTATGCATAAGCAGAATAAGCCGGGTAGGGCTACCAAACAAGCTCTTAATTAATGATGCCACCATCATTTTCTATTCTGGGCTACTAAAGCATTGAGCTACAAAGATTGCTCAACATGTTCCTTCCTAGGTTCCATTTTTGTTTCTTATTTCGAACCTGCCTAGGCCCTTAACTAGACTAATCATAGCCTAATGTAAATTAGATGCTAGGCTCTCGAGTGTCTTCCATCTAGAGGTGACCTAGTGCATTTTAGAACAGTGCCAGCAGATATCCATATCCGAAAGATATTGTTGGCAGCTCTTACTTCTGGTTGAGGATTTTGGGAGTTCTCATTGTTTTTCAGACTGTTCTGATCTTCAGGGAGATTTCAAGGTGCATGAAGATAAGAAGCATAGAGCAAAATACAAGTCGTTAGGTGATTCCGAAAGTAAGCTACAGTTCTTTTCAGCAAGACAAATTGCATGCCGTTTACTTGGAAGTAGAGATTACCTTTGTCAGAAGGTATATGCATGGCTCTCATATTATGTTCATAACTTCTTTTATATTTTTTAATATCTGTAATGTCTTTTTGATTCCTAATCCACACCTGTAAAATATAATTTCCTCACTGCAATTTCCTATAGTGTTGGCTTGCGAAGGAAGATTGTATGTGTTCAAGAGTCATACCATATAATTCTTGGCACCGTATCCGGTTTTGGTTGTATATGCATCCCAAGGTTGGATCTTTTGTGTGTTGCTTTTCAATAGATCATAAGGCATTAAATAGTGTATTATCAAAAAACATTGACCCCTCTCTACAGGATTTCTTGCGCCAAAATAACACAGGAAAGCTGTTATGGCAAGTGTTTGGTGTTCATGCTGCTAATTTGATCTTATTTGGCATTTCTGAAAATGAGGACATGCTGTGGGATGCGTTAAAACTTTCAGGTTCTCGTCCCTTTCTTTTTATTTATATGGATTATGTTTTAGGCTTTACATCTCTCATTAACGTAGTTTAGGAGTTGGGCAGTTGTAATGATAGTACAGTTGTGAACCGATTCAGCAAGACCAAGACTTAACAAGAATACTGAAGTGATATGAGAATTATTTAAGTCTCACAATTACATATTCTGTTATATATTTGCATTCTTTATTCATGATTTGAGTAAACTGTTAGATTCTGTTTCTGATTTACTTCTTTGATCAACTTTCATTATTATCTTATAACTGAATATTTTGTGCAATCAGGGAAGGACAAGGTTTGGTGTCTCTATCCTAATAAGAATGCTGCTTCAAAATCTGTCAAGGACAGCTTTTACCATACTTTTTTGGCAGATCCAATGGTAGATTGCCAACCAGAAAATGTACCTTCTTAATCATAATTCATAGTTCTTGTTTAAGTGTTCATGCCTGAGGAACTAAACTTTTTTTTTGTATTTTGGGGTAATTCTGTAATTTCTGTTAGTTACTGACATACTGCAGGCAAATAGCTATGATGTCTTCAACTTTATTCTACTTGATGGCACCTGGAGCAATTCTACTGCAATGTTCAGCCGTTTAAAGGTTTTCCTACAGACTTATCTACAGAGTATTTGTACTCCCTTCGTTCCGAATTAGTTTTCCTATTTGACTTGTGAAGTTTAAGAAAAACTGTTGAAAACTAAGAAATGGTAGTTGAAATTTGTTTAGAAGAAAGAGAAAAATTATGGACCCCGTATTCTTTACTATATTAAGTAAGTTAAGAAGTAGGACAATTATTTTGTGACAGACTAAAAAGGAAAGTAAGAGGATTAATTTGGGAATGGAGAAAGTACTCTGTATTATTTTCAGTCCATCTCCTGAATTATGGGAGAAAGTAAACAATAAGCCCAAACTTAATATAAGTGTTCCGGTAATCAGGTATTTGTTCGAATTCATTTATTCATTATGATCCCCGTTATTTGTTCCCTTTACGAATCACTTTCAGCACCTGCCCTTTTTACCTGATCCGAAATGGTGTTTTTGGCAGGAGCGAGCCAAGTCACTTTGGGGTGAGGAGCTCCCTTGTATCTCACTAAATACAGGCCTATCCTTGATGCATAGACTGAGGTAATAATAAGAGAGTTAGGCTTCCATCAGAGTCTTACCCGGTCTCACCAATTGTGTGTGACACGGATTATCTGAGCCACTGGACTCTTACCCTGTCTACATGGTAAACTCATCCAGTGGCTCAGATCATGTGTGTGTCATAGAATTGGTCAGACACGTCTGATGAGAGAATCCGTATAAAATACAAGTACAATAGATGAATCGGATCCATCTGCTTTCTACAACAACAACAATAACAGCCCACTATGATCCCACAGAAATAGAGTGTGGTGAGGGTGTGTGTTTGCAAACCTTACCCCAACTTGAAAGTAGAGTGACTGTTACAAAAGACCCCCAACTCGGGTAACATGTGCAACATATTGGCATATATTGAGCATCCATCTACTTTCTTATGAATGAATCATAAGATTATTGTCATTCCCCTTAAGTATTGTTTGATGATTATTAGTGCAGACCCCAACCGTCGTGGGACCGGACATGTACCGCAGCCGCAGCAAGTGGTCTCCTGCAGGAGCTTCATCTTCTCCCTGCATTCGACTCCTATGAGTTAGATAAGCACGCCGATGCAATTGAAGATGCTTTGGAGGTCCTCTTAGATGTACTAACCCAACGCCGCCTTCGCAAGGGAAGGCCCATCGCTCGTGAAGGCAGACACTGTAGCAACATCATTCCACAGGCGCCGGATGATTCATGCTGACTGACTTTGCCCGGTTCGCAGGCAACCACAATTTGTTAACAAGTAACAACTAATTATTTTAATTGAGCAAGCCTAGGAGACATATATGTACAATTTTCATGAAGAATTTTATTGGGATCAAGTGTCTCTATTCATAGACTGTGGAAAGCTTTTGTTCGTAAACGTGTGGGTGAAGGAAAGCTTCTATGGAAGCCAATAATATGGCCCTCGCAAAGTTGTTTAAGGACAAGAATTAACCATGGGGTATTCTAAGTTTGTCCTCATTTTTGACAGAGAACATTAAGCATGACTCAAAAGGCAATTCGATCATTATGTCTTTGTACTACTTTTGTTTCTTGGGAGTAATTTTTTCTCATTTTTTGGAATCCCCTCTCCCAAATCCTCCATGCACCCACCCCACTGGACATAGCTCGGGGCTTGAGGGTGGGTAATAGGGGAGGGTAGAAATCATCAGCTTTTCAAACAGAGTAATGCGGGTGCATTAGGTCATGTTATGACATTAAACACCAATGTCACAAGAATTTTGGTAGGGTCCACAAATTATTTTTCCAAAATAATTACGGTAGGATCCACAAATTATTTTTCCAAAATAATTATGGATAAATTATATTCTAAATGAGACGAGTATTTTGATATATTGTGCCTCAAAATTGGTGCTCAGGTGAATAAGAAGTGAATGTTTTTTTTTAAACTGAAAATCCCTTCATTATAATCACAAATCACAAGAGTTCTACAACTCCATATGAAACATTAACTATACATATTACTTCTTGTAATTAAAATAACTTTCAATATAGAAAAACATTTGTTCCTTAATTTGTTCTTGTGTCGCCTTCATCCCGTGCATCAACATGTTCCTCGCCTTCCATACGTCGTAGATTAGGATTGCCGAAACAACCATTCTTTTAGCTCTATCATATCCCTCCTCGGTTTCACCTGCTGCAGTTTGTTTCCTTGTTCCACCAGGTTATTAGCTGCCAACAACTTGCCATATCTACCTACAGTTTTCCTGATCATTTCCCGGGTGTATCTGAAGCCACAGAATAGGTGCTCACTGGTTTCCTCCTCTTCTAAACAGAGGGCGCAAGTAGGGTCGATAGGTTTCCATCTTTTCAGTTTATCCTTAGTTAACAGCTTCCCATGTAAGGCCAGCCACATCGTGAACCTTACCTTCTGTGGGGTTTGCTTGTTCCAGACCCATCTACTCCAATTCACGGTAGTCAAGGGTCCTCTGAGCCACTCATAGCCCTGTTCAGTTGCATAATGCTTGCCCTGTTCTAATCAATGATGTTTTTAAAACCCCATCCTCCATATCTTCTAGGCGTAGAGATGGTGTTCCAATTGATAAGAGGGATTCACTAGTACCACCCCATAAAAAGTTCCTAGATTAGCTTTGGAATGTTCACCTGGGTAAATACCGAGGGAATAGAGATTCTCAAACTAAATATGCGAGAGCTATCGGAAGCCTGATGTACCTCATGAGCTGCACACAGTCAGACTTAGCTTGTGCAATTAGCAAGCACTGAGTATTGGAAGGCCATAGTTTGAGTGATGAGATACCTTCGGTATACTTGAAATTATAGTTTGTGCTATGGTAGATATCCACCTGCGCTAGAAGGCTATACCGATGCAAACTGATTGCAGATAATAAAGATTCAAAATCCAGGAGTGGATATATCTTTATGTTAGCTTGTGCAGCTGTATCCTTGAAATCCTCAAAACAAATGTTAATTGCGAGATCCACTATGGAGTCTGAGTTTATAACACTAGATAAGTGCACAGAACATGCTGAATGGCTTTAGAATTTATTTGAGGATATTCCAAATTTGGGAAAACAAGTTCCTCCTATTTGCGTTTATTGCGATTGCCAATCGGCAATAGGACGAGCTCGGAGCAATATGTACAATGGTAAGTCTAGACACATTCGTCGTCGACACAAAATCATTCGGCAACTTCTCAATACGGGCATTATCTCAATTGACTATGTTAGGTCAAAGGATAATTTAGCAGATCCACCAACCAAAGGGTTAACAAACAAACAACATGAGAAGTTAGTGGTAGGAATGGGTCTGAAAGCCCTACCCTGTGCTGGGAACGTTTCATGAAGGAAAACCCAACCTGGGTGGTACCAAGTTCAATGGGACAACCTAGTAGTGGGATGAAGCGTGGTCACTGTGGGGGCAAGCCGGATCACTGATTTAACACCCATCCGTTCCTAGTTCCTGCCGAGATATAGTGACTCCTGAAAATGTTGAGATTAGCATAATGTTTTAATGATTCTTGAACTATGGACAATGGTGTCCAAGTAGAGTAATAAGGATACTCTTAGAAGAATCACCTATGTAAGAGTGAAGTGCGGTCGCTTCGATAGAAGAATTCTTGGCTGATCTTGTTTGACACTTTCGTAGAACTAGATGCGAGTTCCACGACGATAACATAAACGGTAGTACAATTTAAAGACATCACGTTTTACTGAAAAGCGAGTAAAGAAGGTATACTTTACAAGGAATAAGGTCAAAGGCACAAAATTTACCTACTCTTACAGTCTTCAATCATAGAGTTATTTGCCAAAACAAATGAATTAATTTTTCATTCAATTCGTGTGGGGGATTGTTGGAATTTTGACTCATATCGGGACAACTTTGGACGAAAATTCGGTAGGGTCCATGAAATTATTTTTCCAAAATAATTACGGACAAATATTATTCTAAGTGAGACAAGTATTTCAAGATATTGTGGACCAAAATTGGTGCTCGGGTGAATGAGAAATTAATTCTTAAAATCGAATACTTGGTAGGAAAGAATTCTCTTGTCCCACATTCAATTCATAGGCTTTTCAACTTTCTCTATTTATATGCTAGTCTTTAATACCATTGTAAAACAATTTATGAAGGAAGACCAAGGGAACCCTCGCACACCGCCGCTGCCATCCGTCACGCTCGGCTCGAGACGGCAAGACACGCGCGCGCGAACGCGTGTGCGCGTGTGCGCGTGCGCGCGACGCGTCGTGACGTGGTGAGGTGTGGGCCGAACCCTTATCTTTTTTTAGGCCGAATCATATGCACGTGACGAAGTGTCACTAAAGCATGCATGCACAAGGGAGGCGAAGGGTGAGGAGTCACTCGTGACACCTCGGAATGTATGTCGGTTCACTTGAAGAGCCAACTTCCCTCATATAAAAGGGGGGCTTGGCTGCAGGGAAGAAAAGAAGTGAAGTTGAATTCTCTGCGTTCCAGCATCCTCTGATCATTTTCTCTGGCATAACTCTCCCGTCGTTCTCGTTCGTCGATTCACAGTTCTACCGCCCTAGACTTTGCACGTTAGCAGTTTTATCCCGGGAGGAGATCGTCCATGTTAGCCAGTGCGGGAGGCGGGCGATACTACCTTAAGAAAAGCTCCGGCGACTCCGCTTCCTTTCTTCTCCGTTCGTTTTTCCGACCACCGGCGAATTCTTGTACTTATTTTTTTATTTATGTTTTAAAATCTGAACGTGTTATAAGTTCGAATTATTATTATTATTTTCGATGTAATATTTATCTTACAATGCAGGTGCACCAGGTCATGTTATGACATTAAACACCAATGTCACATGAACTGGCCCCTCTTTTGTTAAGATCTTTAAACTTTGAACACAATTGCATAAGGTAAATATTAATAGATTAATTTTGCAACGTTTATTTGGAGTATTAATAAAATTTTATAAATATAAATCTATATACAAATCTAGATTTAAACAAACGAAAAGAAATACTCATTTTGAAATAGAGATAGTACGAAATAAAGAGTATTATTTTATCAAATGAGAAACGAAAAGTAAGTAGTTTCAAAAAAACAAAATTTAATCATGTGCTTAAAAAACTAGCTTTGGTTTTTGTAATGGGGGGAATATGTGTTTGGGAAAATATGTAGAAAAAGAAATTGACATTTTTTTCTCTGCCATTGTTTCTCCAAGTCGCTCTCCTATTTATGTGGCATCTCTTATTTTTCACAACCTTTTCTCTTCTCTCTTTTTTTTGTTTGTTTTTCCTTTCTCTCTCTCTCTAACAAAAAGGAGAGAACAGAATACAGAAGGGGCCGTTGCCATTGTTAGGAGGAGGAACTCCAAGGCAATCAAATATAGCATTTTAATTCCTCCAAAAAAAAGAAAGAAAGAAATAGAAAAGAAAAGAACAGATAAATTAAAGAAGAAGAAGAAGAAGGGAAGGCGGAAACCGAATCCTTCTTCTGTCTCTAACACTTTCCTTCTTCAATACCGCTTCCTTTTTCTATCTCTAACAGGCGGCGATGGGGTTAAGAAATGGCTTCTTTTCGCTTCTCTTCTTCCTCCTCCTCCTCGGCTTTGCCGCTCCCTCGTCATACATAAAATGTATCATTTTTTTTCTTTTATTCGTTTCGAATTCATTTTGGAACATTTTTCTTTATATTATAAATTTAAATGAACTTTCCTTTTTCTTTACATAAAAATGAATGAGCAGATGAGTTGCTAGAGAACGGTGGAAGCGCAGGGCGTTCCCTTCTCCAAGAGAAAAAAGGTACCAAATTGTAGTAATGTTTCTTTCTCTTTTATCTTTTCTTCTTTGAAGGTTTCTATTCATGCATTTTCTAACACAAACCATTTACTCCGAAATAAATTTATAAAGGGTCATCCATATAATTTTACATTGGATACTCCCTTCGTTCCATATTAATTCTGTTCATCCGTATCCGTTAAAATCTTTCATTTTTCAATCAATGAACGTAGACATAATGTATGTTTTATATTCATTCATATGGAATGAAGGGATGTGAGAATGCAAAGGCGGAGCGAGAATTGGAACCTCGGGAGCACCGTTACACTAAATTTGTTAGGACACTTTTTTTCGAAATTGCCGGAAATCGTTTCAGATATTTTCCCGCTCTTCGTGAGAATGTGCACGATTCTCATTTCAAGTTAGCTGTATATAATGTTAGAATATACTACATCCGTCTCTTTGAGTAATTCTCCGCTTTTGACTTTTTTCATTCAAAATTGACAAACTTTAAATACAAATTAAATAAAAGGGATATTAGATGGAGAAAAATAATCTTGTGGGGGTTGGTGCAGACTGTCCAATAGACATGGAGAATCAGAACTATACAATAGTGACGAGCCAATGCAAAGGGCCCCACTACGACGGGAAGATATGCTGCGGGGCATTCAAAGAGCTGGCGTGCAAGAACAGGGACGCCCTCAACGCCGACAACAACAACTGCGCCACCGTCCTCTTCAACTACCTCCACCTCTACGGCAAGTACCCCGCCGGCCTCTTCGGCAACCTCTGCAAGGAAGACAAGAACGGCCTCGACTGCAAACAAGTTGACGACAAAGAAGCCGCCGCCGCCGCTGCAAAGAGCGGCGCCTCCGCCACCACACCCGGCACCAAATCTACTGCCGCCGTGTTGCTCGTCGCTGCCGCTTCTTTTCTTGCTGTGAATTCGAGGAGATGAATAATTCTTGTTGAATTATCGTATTGTTATTCATTTGTTGTCAAAGTATGAAAGTGGAAAACTTTAGAAATCATTTAAATATGACTTAAAGATACTCCCTCCATTCTCAAAAACACATTCTCTTTCATTTTTTCCACTTCCAACAAAACACTTCCCTTTTCTATTAAAAAATCACTTTTACCCTAACTTTTTCATACCATACCTATCATATCATACTTTTTCTCTAATAATTTATCCATCACATCTTACTTTTACCCATCACACCAGGAGCAAAATTGGAAATCAACTATAATTTAACACTTCCTTATTTTTGCCCCAAATCAAAATGGGAAGTGTTTTTCCAAATGGAGGGAGTATAAAAAAAAACTACACTCTCCTCCCTAAATAAACTTCCGTTTTTGACTTTTTGAAGATTTAAGGGATGAATATTTTTGTGTTGACTTTCCAAAAATACCCTTGATGTGATGTGTAAAAGTAAGATGTGATATGTAGATTATTAGTAAAAAGGTATGATGTGATAGATAGGGTATGAAAAAGTAATCGGTAAAATGGGTTTTTTAAGGGAAAAGAGAAGTTTATTTGGGGACAAAGAAAAAACGAAAGAGGAAGTTTATTTAGGAACGGAGAGAGTATTAAAATAAGACTTTCATATTTTTTTCTGAAATACGGAGTATGACTTTGCATTGAGGTAATGTGTTACTGTACATGTGCAGATTACTATACTTTTTTGATAATGTACATGATCATGTTTGGTAAGTTTTAATTCGGAATAAAAACATAGAAGTCCTATTTTAGTATATTTTCAATGTTTTAGTCCTATTTTAGTCCTTCTCCCAAACTTAAGCTTCCAAATTGGTTCTCGTGTATGTATTAATGAAATTTATCTAAATAGTACTCCCTCCGTCCCATAAAAAAGTTTCCGGTTTGACTTTTTCAGGATTTAAGGGGAGTGTATTTTGGTGTTAACTTTCCAAAAATGCCCTTTGATATGATGAATAAAGTAGGATGAGATGAATAGATTAATAGAGAAAAAGTGTGATGTGATAGGTAGGTTAAAAATTAGAGGGGGTAAAAGTGACTTTTTAAAAGGAAAAGGGAAGTGTTTTTTGGGACGGTGAAAAAAAGGAACTTTTTTGCGGGACGGAGGTAATACTAAACATAATGACTTTCCCAATATAATATCATATATTTTTATTTACCGATATAGTATCATTGTTTAATGTTCACTGGTCATTGGTCAAATAAATGTCATCGTCACTGGACATTATTCAAACTAAGTGTCTATCATCAATAGACATTGTTCCCGTTACTATACATTATTCAAGTATTATTTAGAAAATAAGAAAAAGTTTAAATGCTACTTTCAAAAAAGACATACTCCCTCCGTCCCCCCTGTATTTGTCCACATTTGACTTTTGGAATTGTTCATCTAAGCACTTTGACCCATCAAATTCTCTCAATGTGTAAGCCTAAATATAGTCATGTGTGATTTTGTTTGATTTGTCTTAACATATAGATTATTAATATATAATTTTTATAATTTTTTAATATACAAATTACAAGATAAAATGGATTTAAGAAATGTATTGGATGGTGTGTAAAAATGAAAGTGGACAAATACAGGGAAACGGAGGGAGTATGTTTTATTGCAATTGCAAATTTCACATGTATTCATTGTACTCCACAAAGATGAAAAATTTGAGCAAGTCGTTCCCTATATTTTTTTTCCAAAAGTGTTTAGCTATCTAAATAGTATCCTCTTCCTCAGAGTAGTGGTAATGGGCTTAACGCCCTCCCACGTTATAGTAACTTTGACGCCTGGGGCGTTAAACACTGCCCCCTCCCCCGTTATCGGGACGTTAAAACTTTTGCGTTAAAATTTTGACGTGTATTGAAGGTGTTTTAATGTCTTTTCCTTCTTTTCTCCCTCTTTTTTCCTCATTTCTTTTCTATAAACTAAATTAATTTTTTTAAAAATTCAACACAAATACAAATTTCTCTTTATCTATCATCGTTTTTAAAACATTATTATTCAAGTATTTTTCAGTTTTTCATAAATATAATTTTTTATTTAATGAATATAATTTTTTTTATTTAATGAATGTAATTTTTTTATTTAAAAAATGTAATTTTTTATAATGAATGTAATTTTTTAATGAACTATTCGCATTTCAATTCTTTTAAATAATTAAATATTTATATTTAATTAATTTAATTTTAGAAGATGTGTATTTAAAATGCAAAAATGAAGGTTCGAAGCCCTAGTTTGAAGCCCCGGGGCTTCAAACCCATTTCCACTTAAACTGTGATGTAAGTTAAAGCTGACGTGGCAGAGAGAGAAGGTTTGAAGCCCCGGTTTGAAGCCTCGGGGCTTCATAGGTATTTCCAGTGCCCTCAGTTCCTCATAAATTATTTTTTCTTATTTCCTTTAGGTTTTTCAAAATTAATCTTTCTTTTTTCCTTTTTAAAACTTTCTTGTTGTGGCTTACCAATACTTTTCTTCTTACTCATTTGCATCATTTTCAATTATATAATTTTATTTTTTTAAAATTTCGTATAAAATCAAACTGAGATAATAAATTAGAATACTCTGTATTAAATGCTGCTTAATTAAATGGTGCCAAGTTCGTATATTTTCTAAGAGTGATGCTTACATTGTCTAAATCTTTCATGAGCACATACTCTCTATTACCTTCTCACATATTTCATGAGCTTACATGTGGGTATATTTTTTGAAAAGACTCATTTTTTATACTACAAATGCATGAATGTCTACATAATGATGAGCTTACAATCTTAATACCCCCCTTGAATGTTTACTTTTTAATTAATGATGGGTACTTCGTAAAATTGGCGTAGTTATGAAACTCATCTTAAATTATGTACAGCCTCATTAAAAATATAATCTGTGTAGAAATATTATTATATCTGAACTTGAATCATTTGATTACATATAGATCTGCTATTTATAATAGTTACAAGACTATGACCTAATTACAAGTCCAACAAGAATGAGCCTGTTAACGACAAACCTTACTACATTCCTTAACACTCCCCCTCAAGTTGAGCATGAGGTTAAAACAAAAGTAAGACTAAAAAAACTTGATAAACAACTTGAACTTGATCTGCTGTGACAACAACGAACGAAGGTGACTGACCCTGCAAACGAACAATAAATTTTGATGACGAATGACTCCCACGCAGTAACACGGGGACGACTAACAAGCATCCCAAACTTGGAGGTCATGTTGCCGGACTGAGGCACGACAATGCGACCAACCTCACAAACAGATATGTCGAACTGAGGCGCGACTATGTGACCAACCTCACAAACAAACATGCTGAACATAAAGGTTGCACTTGAACATACCAAATAGCAACCAAAAACAATATCGCCAAAAACGTCATCAAATTTCGATGAACGGTAGAGTGAAAACCTTCTTCCGCGGAGCGCGAACAAATCAAGCCAAAACCAATAAATAGACCCATAAGACAATTGCAGTGGCCAACCCTATTTGTGGTTGGAACTAGCGAACTAAATTTGAGACTAACAAATAGCTACAACCAACAAATACTTCCTCAATTTATATGGCTCAATGATCTACACCAGAGACACATGGGACTGGTCCAGTTGTTCTTGTCCAGAATACTTGCCCACATGTGGGAGAAGCCAGAAAGACGAACATAAAAAATAGTGATGGGCAAGGGTTGCAACTTGCGACCCGTAGACCTCGATCGACAGTGGACTCCCGCGGCTATGGCTATCGTCTATTAGCATCAATGCACAACTGCAACAACGAAGGTATCAAACCAGGGGGACGGCAGCAACTTTAGGCTGAGGCACGGACGGCTTCAATTTAAGACTCGGGCAGACTGCGTGGCGCAGATCTATAGCATCAACAATTACACAACAATTAATAAAGAGATTTGATGGTGATGCAAATGATGATGCCACCGTCACTGGACAAACTGAGCGACGGCGGCGGCAGAAGCGCGACAAACTAGAACAAACTAGGGTATGCTCCCAGGGTTTGGCTCCAATACCATGTAGAAATATTATTAGATCTGAACTTGAATCATTTGATTACACATAGATCTGCTATTTATAATAGCTACAAGACTATAACCTAATTACGAGCCCAACACGAATGAGCCCGTTAACGACAAACCTTACTACATTCCTTAACAATCTGGAAAAACCTAGTGGAATAAAACCAAATCAAGGGAAAAAGAATACAGTGCATAAAATTCTTGTGCTTGGCTTAGCATAATTGACGGAAGTGACACATGTCATTCTTGTGTACAAGTACGGTTCTTCAAATTTCATTGGGGGCAGCGCTTTCGTAAATAAATCAGCAGGGTTCTCACAGAACTTGATTTTCTTGATGTCAACATTTCCATCTTTCTCGAGATCATGTGTCGAGAAGAACTTTGGTGATATATGCTTTGTTCAATCTCCTTTGATGTAGCCTCATTTTAACTTTAGCAATGCATGCAGTGTTGTCTTCATATATAAGAGTCGGGTGGCTAGTGATTGTTTTTATACCATACTCTGGATAAGTTGGATCATTGGTCGTAACAATACACATTTTTTACCTGTTTCGTAGAGAGATATATTATAATTGAGTTATGCTGAGACACTTAGGGCATGTTCTTTAGGACTAGAAAAATAGTTAGATGTCGAAAGAAATTGAAAGGAATTGGAAAAACTTAAAGAAACTGGAAAAAAACTAGAAGAAACTATAACGAACTGGAAAAATTAGATGGAATAAAAAAACTAGAAAAAATTAGAAAATCTAAAAAAAACTCTTAAAAAATTATTTAATTTTAGTATTATATAAATATATTTTATAAAAATTATATATTTCAATACTATGTTTCAAAATGAATCTATTGCTAATAAATTTATATGAAAATTCAATATATTTTTTCCGTAATATACGGTCAAAGTTTAAAAAGTTTGACTACAAAAGTCAAACTGAGAAATTAATTTTAGGACGGAGGGAGTAAAAAATAAGAGTTTAATCTCTAAAGATCATGCTTTTGGGGGTGTAAGGTTGTGATTTGATTAAAATAAGTTCTGTTATGATCTGATTGTAATTGTAGTTAAAGTTATTTTTAATCAGATCTGATTGTAAGAGTATTTAAAGATGTTTATAATCTGATCTGATTCCAATAGGAATTA